AACGGTATGGGTTGACTGGTCATAAGTCCTTTCCCAATACCGTGGGTGGGAGCGGATCTGGTCCCCTCACCCACCACTTCAACGACAGAACTCCCGTCGCTCTCGGAACCCTGGTCCGATTCCTCACTATCGGTACCCCTTCGATTATCTGGAGACTCTCCGTCGAATGCGTTTAGCTCGCTCTCGAACCCCGACTCGCTATCAGACATCTACAAAAAAGAACAACAAAGGAAGGAAACTAAGGCACATGCAGAGGGCTAACCTACAGGCGCCTACGTCTCTACCTATGGCAACTAGACTATCGAACTACACCCCACTTGCATAAAGTTCTAGTCTAGTTCAGCCCAAGGAAGGACGTATGCATAGCAAAAAAGAAAAAACATAAACAAGAGTTCCGAACGGTACCTTTTGAGAATTGAAGGATAGAGTTTCGCTGCGTCAACAACCGAAAGGCTTCGCCTGAAATCGCCCAAGCTACCGTTCGACCTTGCCTGAAATCGCCTTGGCTACCGATAGGCTTCGTCGGAAATCGCTCAAACTACCGTTCGATCTCGCCTGAAATCGCCTTAGCAGAGCTCTCGCAACACTCTCAAATGTAGAAGTGGCCCTCGCCTCAGAGGCCACTCCTATTTATAGACGAGGAGACGCAACAGTACACCTCGGGACACGGAACGACGCATTAATGGCGCTGCCCTGCATGATTTGACATGCCACGCGTCGCGCAACGAACGGGAAGAACTGACAGCACGCAGGTTCAGAAGACGAAGCATCACTCTGTCCAAGTCAAGAACCTATCGGTAAGTCCGGGTCGGAATCCGTTCTGCACTCCCAGTACTACCGAACGGTAGCCCACTCCGCGGCGACTCCTGAGCTCCCTGGTAAGACTTCCGAATGAACACGCACGGAGAAGAAGGCCAAGCCCCTCCTCCTGGCGAACTACCGAACAGTAGCCTACTCAGCGGCAACTCTTGAGCTCCCTGGCATGACTTCCGAATGAGCACGCACGGAGAAGAGTGCCAAGCGCCTCCTCCTGGCGGACTACCGAACGGTAGGGCTACCTGGGGACTGCCAAAAGAAAACAAATCAAGCCATCATCCAAACATCCTCGGATAAAGGCTTGGGGGACTCCTGTTTATACCCAAAATGAACAGCCAATAAAGACAGGACACGTGGAGGGGATTGAGCATGGTCAGGGTAGCCTTAGGCACCCGGCCTACCGATCGCTCCATTAGGGCAACGCCCACCTTCTGGAGACGTGTGTTTGTACCGTATCTGACCCTCCACTCGTACAACGACACGTGGATCTTAGAAACTCGCCCAAGTACCCAAGGCCTCGGACAATCGGCATCGGCCACCGATGGCATTGTCTCAAAGCTGCGAACAGCCATTACAGGCCCAGCTCATCTATAATCGGCATCCCTTACCGATTGTAGAGAATCAACCTCGAAGTATCCGCCCAAAATATCTAAAGACTCGTGTCGACCTCAGAGGGCCCTCCCACGAGTCCCACATTGAAAATGAGTACTAAGAGCATACAAAATGCACTCTATAAATAGGCCCCTCCACTACAATACAGGGGTAAGACTTTTAAGCTTGACTTCTATACTTTTATATGGTCAACAACAAGAGCTCTTAAAAACAATCTTACTTGAGCATCGGAGGGTCTTAGGCTGGTTCCACACCGGTTTCATAGACCTCACGAACCTCAAACTCTCTTCTATTCAGGATCTGCATCTATCACTCAATCGATCTGCTAGATCGTCCTCATCACTTGTAAGTTGCACTCATCTCTATCTGTTCAGATTTAGCGTCAACAACGTGGCACGCTCAGAACCGACGTCCACAGCCCCACATCGAAAAACTACAAAGAGTGCACATCTCCCAAGGCCTATAAAAGGGGTCAACCACCCCAAAATAGAGGTAATAAGAACGATCGGCATACTGCTTAATTGAACTGATAGTAAAACTTACTAAATCCCGAACTTACTTAAGCATCGGAGAGCCTTCGGCCGGTACAACACCGGTGCCCTAGGTCTTACCGAGCGTTTCTCCTATTTTGCAGGTCACGCTCCCTTCCGAGGCATCAGGTACCGAAGGCATCTACATTACTAAGTTGACCCTCTAAGTCGCGAAACCACTTTTTGACGTCAACAATAGGTATTAGATGAATCAAGAAATATGTTTCTCAACTGTTAGATCATAAAACACAAAGTGATCAGTCAGATGCATTTCAATACATCTTAGCCAACATACACGTGACTTTCGAAAAATGGGGAAGAAAATAACTCTATGGGTAGCAACTATTTCAGTAGACGATTCAAAAACTACTAAAGTACGTAGTTCCTCAGAGTACATTTTACGAATTAATGACACAAAGGAAGTTTTGCAAATGATCAAAACACCAGATATAAAGTGTTCACAGAGTTTGTGCTTACAAAAAAATAAAATAAAAAATCAGGGCAATCATCAATGTTTGTAAATCAAGCTCAGTAGACCTTCCAAATTCACCATGTCTCTGTCAAGTAGTTCTCAAGGCAGTGGTGAAAATAATCAAAATTTCAGTTATTGGAACTTCCGTAGGCTGACTTCGATGGTTTACATCACTCCGTTCGCTTCCATAGAGTCCCTGAAATGATCAAAATTTCAGTTATTAAAATTAAGGAAAGAGTAGAAACTGCTTGTCCAGTTATAGAAATCAATTAATTTGCATCTTGCAATCATTTTTCGATTCGGGAATTAAATTTTTTGAGAAACAACTAAAGCATGCAGATTAAACAAAACAACAAACGTCGTGTGGCATAACAAGTAAATTAATTTATAGAAAATTTGGCATAAGTTCAATTATGAGGAGAGATTTTGGGTGCAATCCACGTAGAAATTGTTGTTGATCCAAGTCCTTTGACTTTTGCGCCACATAAGATTACATGCCTTTTTCAATTTATTGATATTTACTTTTTTCTTTTTCTTTTTTTTCCAGTTATGCACCTAAAACATAAATAAGGTAAATTATGAATTCGTAAAATTGGTAAGTTATTGATTTGTAGGATATTAATTATCATATTTGATTTGAATTTAATTGCAAATCTATTTATTGAATTCTGAAATTTTCCCAAGGTATACCGACATCAAAATTTGTAATAAGAGTTCATAAAAACTTCATACCTTAACAATAGGCAAGGTACTTATGCATACACCTTGTATGCAGTATGCTAGTAATTAAACTCATAAATTACCTCTGGTCCAGGTAATTAAATCCATAAATTACCTCTAGTCTAGGTAGTTATACCCTCTAGCCCAGCTAATTGAACTCATATAATATCTTGGTATGGATCTTTAAACTCAACTGAGATAAAAATCCATACAAAATTTCT